GAAACGAACGCTCCCTACGTGGCAATTATTGAACCGAACGCCTTGGAAATTGTTTTTTTTTCGGGAAACCCGACAGGATCAATCTTACAGGAGGAGCTGCGAGACACACTCGACTGTGCCGATATCTGGGAGCATTGGGGTGGGCCCTCACTCCCAGAACGTCGCCAAGAAGTCTCGTGGTCGCTCGGCAAGGAATGGCGTCTGCCGACGATTTTGCGATTGACAGAGGTTCATTCGCACACTAATCTAACCACACGCACACTAAAATCTAGATTGCCTGGTGTCTGCCCAGACCGTCACGCACTGGGTTGTTGCACAGAATCAATGTTTATGGTCTGGACGAGAACAACTTCAACCTCGACGTAGAGTTGGTGAGTGCCATCTGATGCGAGAGAGAGAGAGAGAGAGAGAGAGAGAGAGAGAGAGAGAAAGACAGACTGGTTTTGCAGGAGAATTTCAAGAAACTTGTCGAAATCCCCGAAGGCCGAAACGCGAAATATCTTGAGGAGACTGATGCAGATGCGGAACTGTGCCGAAAATGGATTGCCGCCCATGAAGTAAGCTTTGAATACCAGGGAATTCTTTCTAGACGCTGTTGATACTCCTAGCCTTCCATGTCTATCATTTCATTCTAGCCGAATGCTGCCAATCATCAAATACATCGACAGCTCCGAGCTTCTATCCATGGCAAAGGTATTTCAATGCCGATTTTCCATCTGGACGAATTTTATGAGCGTTTCCAATCACGATTAACGGGGCTATAAAGCGTGAAAATCGACCCTTGCCATCGACTAGGTTTCTACTGATACTTGAAACAATTCACAAGTTTGGTTGTGACTAGTGATGGGGTTATTCAAATCAAATCTTGACTCAAATCTGAGAGCTCAAATCTGAATATTTGAAGGCAAAAATTTCAATTTCAAATCGGCGGATTTGATTTGAAATCCCGTGGGCGAGTTCAAATCAAATCTCGAGGATTTGATTAAGCTTCCGGTCCTTAATCAAATCTTATGGAGATTCCGGCATGCAAAACATAAAAAAATCGCTATGGCCGAACCGGCGCGAACCGGAAATGACCTTGATTATGCATACCATCATACAATTAGCATCCGCGTAATGAGCTATTGATTTTTTCGACTCCTTTCAAATCCTCGTTCAAATCTTCAGATTTGAACTCAAACCTCGAAAGTCCAAATCAAATCGCTTTGATTTGAAGTGCTGAAACCTTATTCAAATCAAAGCGGCAGATTTGATTAGGCGGATGCAAATTAGATTTGAGATTTGAATAATACCATCACTACTACTGATACTTGAAACAAATCACAAGTTTTGTTGTGCCTCACAACTTGTTAGTTGTGGTTCAGAGCTGCGTAAACTCCCGGAAAATAGGGGACTATTTTAGCCTTGTATCGTCCGTCTGTTTCTCGTTGATCAGAGGGGTCAATTCTCGTGCTTTCTCGTCCGTTTCAGCAATGCCGAATTTTTGGCAGCTCGCTTGAAAATCCGATGCTTTCAGACTTCCTCATCGCTTTCGAACGCTGCTATGATGGTGAATGTTGCGCGATTTGGATTTTCGACAAATGAGATGGCCCAACCTAACGAATTTGACAAGGAAGGGCTGGGGCGAATAAATATCATCTGCATCTGGAATTCACAGTGGATTCCAATTCTTTCTTCACCGCAAAGGAACAAAATGTTCGGAAAACCCAATTAATATCCGCATGCTGATTGCGACATTAAAAAAACAGTTTTAGCGATAACTTTTTTTTTGCAATATTTTGCTTTCAAAATTGCTCCACTGGTGTACGGTTCTAGTGAATTGCTGAGTGGTCTAGCATCAGCGTCGGTAAGAGTCTAGGACCCCCCTCCTTTGTGCTAGCGAGCGCTAAAGTGCAAACGTGCAAAAATCGCCGAGATATTCGACAAAAACCACTGCCTTTATAGTTATTTTACTGACAAGGAGACGTTTTTAGGTGGGCACGGAGTTTCGTAACGAGACCAAGCTCATTCGAAAGAGCTTGAAAAACTGAGCAAGATCCCGTTTTCCATTTCTGCGAAACGATAGCGATTGATTTTTAATAATTAAATTAAAGAATTAGCAGAAATTGGCATGATTCCCCTCGCGCGCAGCGATTTCCTTCCAAATATCCCCACTGTCGGAAATCCAGGCCCCGTCTTCCCTTCCCCATAGCGATTTGGAGCAGCCGGTACGGCGCTTGCCTCTCACGAAATTTTTTTTGGACTTTTTGTCAGTTCGACCCCTTAGCCGAGAATTCGTTTTGCTTTTTAATTCCTGAACACTTTCTAAACGTGGAATCTAGCCCAAAATTAATTTTTTTTGTGGTATGCCCCAAACCGATAGCGTTGCACTCGCGTCTCAGGGATTGAAATCAACTGGTCCGCTTGCGCCTACACCGATGCTGTTCAGAATATTTATGTAACGCATTGCGATAATTAAATTAAAATAAATAATTCAGCCTCCTAAAATAAAAAGCAAAACGAATTCTGGGCTCAGGGGTCGAACTGACAAAAAGTCCAAAAAAATTTTGTGAGAGGCAAGCGCCGTACCGGCTGCGCCAAATCGCTATGGGGAAGGGAAGACGGGGCCTGGATTTCCGACAGAGGGGATCTTTGGAAGGAAATCGCTGCGCGCGCGGGGAATCATGCCAATTTCTGCTAATTCTTTAATTTAATTATTAAAAATCAATCGCTATCGTTTCGCAGAAATGGAAAACGGGATCTTGCTCAGTTTTTCAAGCTCTTTCGAATGAGCTTGGTCTCGTTACGAAACTCCGTGCCCACCTAAAAACGTCTCCTTGTCAGCGAAATTACAACCCATAGAATAACTATAATATCAGTAAAATATCAGGTTGGAAGGTAAGTCCTGTCGCCGAGATTTCGAAGAGCTGCCTAAAATTGCAAATAGCATCATTTTTGACATGCGATATGTCATTTGGTAGCCCTCGACCTAAATTTCTTCCGGAGGAAGGACCTGGGCCATTAAAATGAAGGGGGGTCGAGATACAGGCCCGAGAAGTTTTTGGCGAAATATGGGAAAAGTGTTTTTGCAATTTATCTCTGCATGGAGCGATTTGCATGCGATACCTTGAGCGCCAATCGATAGATCTCGAGGAGTAGATATCGATGGATGTTGAGATCATCAAAATTGGACACTGGATGGCCGAGATATGGGCCTCTGAAATTTGGCCCATTTCTTAGAACTTTTCTCGAAATCCCATACATCAGGCAAGAACGAGCCAAAACTTGCCGCTCGATTTTTGAACACCACATGAGGATGTTGATAAAATGTATAGGATTTCGAGAAAAGTTCTAAGAAATGGGCCAAATTTCAGAGGCCCATATCTCGGCCATCCAGTGTCCAATTTTGATGATCTCAACATCCATCGATATCTACTCCTCGAGATCTATCGATTGGCGCCCAAGGTATCGCATGCAAATCGCTCCATGCAGAGATAACTTGCAAAAACACTTTTCCCAAATTTCGCCAAAAACTTCTCGGGCCTGTATCTCGACCCCCCTTCATTTTAATGGCCCAGGTCCTTCCTCCGGAAGAAATTTAGGTCGAGGGCTACCAAATGACATATCGCATGTCAAAAATGATGCTATTTGCAATTTTAGGCAGCTCTTCGAAATCTCGGCGACAGGACTTACCTTCCAACCTGATAACTATAAAGGCAGTGGTTTTTGTCGAATATCTCGGCGATTTTTGCACGTATCGAGATGCGATTTTCAGAATAGGCTTCTGAAGGGTCACTTGATATACTGTACAAATCCGAATCAAATCGGTTCGTGGAAAGTCCGATTTTTGGCAAATGACGTATTCGAAACTGTAAAAAAACTATAAAGGCAGTCTAAAGAAATACATTCAAAAATTCCCAAATTAGTTTCTTTGGAAATTTACAATACAATCATGGTTGTTAGAACGTTTTCTATTAAAAATTGTTTCCTAGTACTGCCTTTATAGTTATTTTACTGAGTGTATCACATATTATAGTATTCATTATATAGTCATAATATATTCGATTAGAACGAAAATTTCTTCATTATGGATAAGCTTCAGCTTAATTAATCTTAATGAACAGTACTTAAAGGGATACCGACGGCATAGCCTATAGGTCGGTCCGGGAAAGAAAATGCCTCTGCGTCTCCACCCAGGAGGGCGCGCTTTTTGCCCTGTTGGCTACTTGCCAATTTGTTGATGGGGGGGGGATCGACACACGACAACGACACGGTAACCTATATTGAACAAGATGTCCTTCTCCAAATCTGCGAACCATGCACGGTGTTCGATCATTTCCCGCATTCTTCCTGACCCCCCGCGCTTCAAACGCATTGCTAACAGAGGGGAATTAATGTCGACACAAATGGGAAGTGGCCGCTGGGGCATCGGGTTGGTCATCGAGTGGCAATTTTGCGGCGAGTACTTTTACAATCCCAACTTTGCGGCGCAAATTTTCGGGCCGGCTTTCGCAGATTCTGCAAAGCGATTGGGGAGCAGCAAAAAATTCGGTTCTATTTAAGTTAGGGGGGGCAAATTTTTTCGCATATTTCCAGTCGCTTTTCTTCGGTTTTTCTTTGGATTGGGCTCAGCTTAGCTTAGCATCGGCTTAGCTTAGGCTTCGGCTTAGCTTACCCTAAGCTTAGACCTAGCTTAGTCTAGGCTTAGGCCAAGCTTCTGGGCGGGGTTGAAGTACCCGCGCTGTAGCTTGGCTTTGTCACATTTTCACTGATTATGGCTTCGGCTTACTTTTGTTGAAGCTCACCTTGACTGAGCGTCATCTTAGCTTGGCTTAGGAGTTGAGACTTACGCTGGGTTAGCCGCAAAAAAAACTGGTAGCCAGGTAGCTCAAAAATGGCCCCAAAAAATCTTGCCCCCCCCCCCGCTAACTTGAATAGTACCAAAAATTCTGCAAAATAATTCTACTCGTCGCCACTAAAAAAATAATTCTCCTTGTAAACCGGTTTTCAGAAAAGCTCTGATGTTTCCCGCCGCGCGCATGAATTCGGTTTTGACAGCGGCCGTGATCGATCAGCTCGGCATCGAAGAATTGCACAAATTGCGACGCGTCAGCAAGGAGTTCAGGTAGATGCTGGGGCATTCGGGTTGACAGTGCTTTTTCACTTACGTTGCCCTTTGCAGGAGTGCCGTCGACGAACGCGGGCTGATGCCACGAAAAGTGAAATTTATGATGATTGATGCCCGTGTGCCGGAGATGGATGAAATGGCGGCAAAGGATGAGAAGGTAAAGCTCAAGGTAGCCGGATTGTAAATGGTCCATTCTTGAAAACAAGTGATTCAAGCGGGGTAGTGATTGATCTCGCTTTTTAGATTTGGTTGCACGAGACGAATATGCTGATTGTGGATCGCCAGAGTGGCAGTTTTACGGCGTGCAGCTATCAAAATACGATTAGCATCAACAGTGAATCTGCGAGGTCAGTTCAAACTTAAGAGAGTGTGTGAGAGCGGAGAGAGAGAGAGAGAGAGCGAGAGGGATTGAGAGAGACTGTTGTTCTTTCTCAATCTTTTTTAGGGCATTCAACGCGCCATTCCACCGTTTTATCAAGCTACTTCCACAAATCCGCTCGATCGAAGCGGTTGAAATGAATGTTTCGACAGATTATGAGCCGGTAAGCATCTAGCCGTCGTACTGTCTTGAAACCGCAATGAATTTTATGCAATCTTATATAAATCTAGCTGAAGCTATGCCCGCGACTACAGGGAATCGACCTAAGAGCATTGCGAAGTGACGCCCGATTTGAGGTGAGGTAAAAGCAGAGATGTATAGCATAGGCGAAAGAGAGGGAGTATGAGAGAGACAGAAAGAGAGTACGAGAGAGAGACGGAGAGATAGAGAGAGATAGCGAGAGAGAGCGAGAGAGAGAAAGAGAGAAAGAGAGAGAGAGAGAGAGAGGGTAGTTCGAGAGAGAGAGCCGGAGTACGAGAGCGAGAGAGAGAGAGAGAGAGTGTGTGTACTACATATCTATATCATGCAGTAATAACATTTAGCTATCCCCATTCTTGCAATCTCTGAATGGGATCTGCGAGTTTTCGCTGGAGTCGACAGACAACGGCGAATTATTGCGCAAAATCTTTGTCAATAACGGCAACGGTTTCGATCGGCTGTATGTAGACGTGAGTATTGCGTATAACATGCCCACATAGAGCAATATTCGTTGCCACGTGAAATACCACCCCCCGTTAAGCAAACATTACCGAATATTATGCAGGTGGATCAGCTGAAACAACTGCTCGACTGCACCGATATGTGGGAGACGTGGTGCGGACCGCCACTCCCAGCGCGCCGTCAAGAAATTGCGTTTTCTAACGACGAATGGTGTTTGAAGACCATCTTACGACTGGCTGAGGTTCGTTCAACCGGTACATGGCAAATCGGCAACGCGATTTCCGGCGGGCGGCTTGGAGAGAAACCCGCAAGGAAATCTTGCTTAGCAACACTTCAGGGAACCTTTTGGGATTTTTTTTGGAAACTAGGCTCTAACATTTAGATCGCTTTTTGCCTCACCCGTCCGTCACGCCCTGGGCTGTTGCATCAAATTTACATTGACTTGGACATGGACAATTTCAACGCGGACGCCGAGTTGGTACGTACGCTGAAGAGAGCGAGAGAGCGAGAGAGAGAGAGAGAAAGAGAGGGGGAGGGAGAGAAAGAGAGAGAGAAAAAGTGAGAGAGAGCGAGAGAGGGAGAGAGAGAAAGAGAAAGAGGGAGAGAGGAGAGAGAGGGAGAGAGGGAGAGAGGAGGTCGACATGTGGAATACCTTGAGGAGACGGATCCTGATGCGGAACAGTGCCGAAAATGGATTACCACTAGTGCTGACGTACGTCGCCGTTGGCGGAAATTATAGGGCACCATGACACGGCCAAAATGCTTGTAAAATGCGCTGTTCCGTGCGTGTAAAAGTCCTAAGAATTTTTCCACGTAAACAGCTTGATATGATACCGAAAACAGCGTTCCTGCATCGTAATCTCTTCTCTACCTGCATCCACCTTATGTTAATTGAATTTATTAATACCAAAAACACAAAGAAAATCTTTAATTTGGCAGGTTTTGTATGTTTTCGACCTCAAATTGGCGGAAAGGTCGCTGGCTGCAATGTCATGGTCCCAAATAGAGAGTCGAAAGCACGTGTATTTGACGCGTGGCGCAGCCATAGCCGCCGAGGTCTAAAATATAATTTTAGGGTCATGTCGATCATCCCGTCCATCGTTATCTCCGGGTTTCTATCGAGGGCAAAGGCCGGTTTTTCACGCTGAATATTGATTAGAATGTAGACGGATTATCCTTGGAAGGGAAATACCCTGGGAAGTCCTTAAAGGGACATCGAAACGAGAGAATCGATGCCGTCTCTCGACTAGATCTAGACAGCTACTTGACAAGCTAAAGCGCATACTAACACAAGAGACGTTGATTCGTTTGAGGGACGTGGCGCTCCAGTAAACCTGTAATGAGTTTTTGCGTCTGGCGCGTTGTCTAGACCTAATCGCCGGCAGGGGGTTGATTCTCATGCGTGGTCGTTATGAATTTTAGCCGAATCTTTGCTGCTGCTCTAAAAAGCTTGTGCTTTCAGATTTCATTGTGGCTTTCGAATTGGAGGAGATGACCGAGTCGATGGCGGCAACGGATGTCGCTGGAGCTTTCTGGATTTTCGACAAATGAGCTACCAATCATGATCTAATGACAGACAGTTGACGACGAATAAAAAAATCATGTTAATCGATGGTTCGTCAGCACTGGCACTGGCCAAAAAGCTCTCTCTTGCTCTCTCCCTCTCTCTCTCTCTCTCTTGCTCTCTCTCGGGCTCTCTCTTTCTCTCTCTCTCTCGCTCTCTCTCTCTCTCTTTTTCTATCGCTCTCTGTCCCTTTATCTTGCTCTCTCTCTTGCTTTCTCTTGCTCTCTCTCCCTCTCTTTCTCTCTCTCTATCTCTCTCTCTCTGTCTCTCTCTCTCTCGCTCTCTCTCTGTCTCCTGCTTTCTCTCTTTCTCATCGCCTTCATTGCCGTGCATTAGTTTTTTAAAAGTTGTTGGGCGTTGGTTGAACCGACCCATCTGCCTACGTCTGTGCCCAAATTACATGTCGTAATGGGAAAGCGAGGCGTCTCCAAAGCCCGCCCCAAGCTTGTTTCTCTTTTTGCAGCGCTCTGATTTTTCAAGAATACATTTTTTGGTTTCAGTTTTTTTATTGTACTTGATGGCGGTGAGCTACGCGGACTGTTTGAGCCCCTACGAGCACAAGGGGAAGGTCGGCATGCCCGAGCTCTACGACCCGGACGACGTCGTCGAGGCAAAGGCCGCGCAGCTGGCCGAATGGATCCGCCAGGCAAAGCACACGCTCATCATCACGGGCGCCGGTTTGTTTTTTTAAAGGGGCTCGGCAGTCAAAAGTTCGCGCAGGCGGGGGTTGAAGCTACTGCTCAAAAAAAAAGGGTCATCTCAGAGGAGTACTACAAAATTAATTTCGTTACGAAAAAACGTAAAATATTTGAGTAAAACCGAACAGTTCTTTCGGCGAAAACGATACTTTGAGTGGGCGCGATTACATGTCGTAATGCCTTGTAAGGCACCCAATCTCGCGATCTCGATGATTCTTTGATCAATTTTTCGACTAACAAATCTAGAATGATCAAAATGCGATGAGGAGTACAGAAAAAGCTTCAAAATTTGTAAATTCAAGCGTTTTCACGTCCAGACAGGGACAAAAGATCATGCTATGCGGCCGCGTTGCGGCCGCATATCGCTATTTGCCAGAAATCAACGCGATCTTACAACATTCTTATTCCCAAAAAATTTTTGTTTTTGTTTCTGCAAATTTCACTTCGTCGTAACTTTCGGTGTTTCTTTTGTTTTGTCGCTTTCCACTAAATTTGTATAGCTAAAGGGACGACAAAGTTGGTTCAGCAGCCATCAGCTTAAGGTCCTGGCAAATTGCCAGAGATCCGGCGGCAACGGGACCGCTTCGCATGTTTCCTCGACGCTGTTGCGACGCGGAAACGCGAGAATTTACCAATTCTGACGCCGTTTCCGTGTACGCAAGTTTGCAACAAAATGATATTTCGGCAAAGCGAACTTTTGGTCCATCTGAAATTTCGACAATTTCGATAAAATTATCTAATTATTTTCCTCAAATTCCAGGGATCAGCACGTCGGCGGGGATCGCCGATTTCCGCGGGCCGACCGGTGTGTGGACGCTGGAGAAGCAGGGGAAACCGGCGGATTCGGTTCGTTTAAAACTTACTTGACTCGCCCTGGGCTGCCAAAGAATGCCGACACGCCAAAATACGGGGATCGCTAATGTTTAAGGCATTTTAGATTGATTTCGGCACAGCGCGGCCTACCTACACACACGAGGCCATTCGAATACTGGAGAAGCACGGTTATGTTAGGTGCGAAATTCTGTTAACTAGCCGGCTTTCTCTCACTCTCTCGCTCTCTTGTCTCTCTCGCTCGCTCTCTCTCTTTCTCTCTCTCTATCTCTCTCTATTTATCTCGCTCTCTCTCTATCCATGTCTCTATTTCTCTCTTTTTACTTTATTCCTCCCTCTTACTCTCTCTCTCCCTCACTGACTCACTCTCTGTCTCTCTCGCTCTCTGTCTCTCTCTCTCTCTCGCTCTCGCGCTCTCTCCCTATTTCTCTATTTCTCTATTTCTCTCTCTCTCGATCTCACTCTCTGTCTCTCGCTCTATCTCTCTATCTCTCTCTCTCTCTCTCTCTCTTTCTCTATCTCTCTCTATCTCTATCTCGCTCTCCAATCTCTATCATTATGACGTAGTCCCCAAAAACAGTCAATATATTGAAAAATCACATTAACTTCCCCGCTAACCAACCAAGAAAAATCCCCCAAAAATTTAAATTTTCCGCCTGGCTAATATACCCTGCTTTTTTCAGCTTCCTAGTCTCGCAAAACGTCGACGGGCTGCACCACCGCTCTAGTTTCCCGCTGAACCGCATGGCCGAACTGCATGGCAACGTCTTTGCCGAGCAGTGCATTAAATGCAAAAGGTATGGGCATGGGCATTTTAACGTTAACGATTTGTACAACATATAAATTGCATTTTTGATATGACCCTTTAGGCGATACTACCGCGACGCACCGGTCAACTCGTTCTGCCTGCGGCCCACCGGCAATTTTTGTGAGGGTACGCCGAGGTAAGGCAGAAGCGGCGTTTTTTCAAAATGTCAAAAATCACAATGTCGACATTTCGGAATGTCGAAATTTAGAATGTCGACATTTCGGAATGTCGAAATTTACATAAACTATAATTCCTGGTGGTAAGACTCCAGATACCCCCCCGGGCGGCCCCCAACTCTTGTATCTCGGCTCCCTGTTCATCAACAAATGTGTAAAGTATACCAAAATATTCACCAGATCAAGTCGAAAATTTTGGTATACTTTTCACACCTGTAGATGAACAGGGAGCCGAGATACGGTAGGTGAGGGTCGGCTGGGGGGGGGGGGGGGGGGGCGGGGTATCTGGAGTTCAGCCTTCCCGCTTAACCCCCGAATCCTATACAAAAAAATGTCGACATTCTGAATCTCGACATTTTGACAGCAAATCGGTAGAGGCATATAGGCAAAACACCGACAGCAAAAATGCCGACAATCTAGAATGCCGCACCCTCAAACATCGACAACTCCAGTACTGAAAGACCGAGATTCGAATCGCGAAATCCCGAATTTCACATTTGTGATACCGTTAGCGAAAATTGCGAAAACTCACAATGCCGACAGGCTAAAAAGGAAAGCGTCAAATGTCAGAATTTCGTTCACCAAAATGCCGACCAATTAAAATGTCGACATCCTGAATACGGGCATCGAAAATGCTGGCCAGATGCAAGGGCAAAATTCAGAATTTCGTTCACCAAAATGCCGACAGCTTAAAATGTCGACATTGGGTGTCGGCATTGTGGGTTCAATGCGAAAATAATTTAGGGGGCGCCCTTGCCGAGGGGCGCTGCACGACATGACGCTCGACTGGGAGCACGACCTGCCCGAGCCCGATTTCTCGGTAATTACGGGGGAATTAGGCTTAAGCTTCGGTTTAAGCCTACGCTTATGCTTAAGCTTAGGCCTAGGCTTGGATTTGGGCTAGGCTTCGGTCATTTTGGCTTATGCTCAGGCTTAGGCTCAGGCTTCAGCTTAGGTTTGGGCTTAGGCGGCTTTCGCTTTGGTTTAAGCTTACGTTTATGCTTAGGTTCCGATGTTGAGAGCTATGTAGAAATTCGAATTTTCACTTCCAGGTCCCTTTAAACTTTGGTTCAGACGTCACTGGCCTGGGCGCACGCTGCGGATCTGTGCATTTGCCTCGGTACAAGTCTCCAAATCATCCCCGTCGGCAATTTTCCGCTTCACACCATGAAATCGGGCGGCAGAGCGGTGACTGTGAATCTTCAGGCCACAAAACATGTAAGGTTTTTGAGATAGAAAGAGTGAGAGAGATATGTAGGGAGAGAGAGAGAGAGAGAGCAACAGACGGAGAGAGAGAGCGTAAGACTGAGAGAAAGCGAGCGAGAGAGAGCAAGAGTGCGAGAGCGTGAGAGAGAGAGAGAGAGAGAGCAAGAGACAGAGAGGTAGCGAGAGAGAGAGCGAGAGAGAGATAGAGTGAGAGAGAGAGAGAGAAAGATATAAAGAGAGGGAGAAAGAGAGGGAGAGAAAGGCGACGTCGATAATTCCAGGAAAAGAAGGTCGATCTGACGATCCACGCGGGCGTTGACTACGTGATGCGTCGAGTGATGAGTTTGCTAGGTGCGTGGTTCTTTTTGAAAAAAGCAATCGACGGCGTCAAGCGGTCGCGTTGCGTCCAACGGCCACCAGCGACACGCCGCGCCCACCCAATACCCAGGCGACGCGCACCCAACGAAAACCCAACGCACGCGCGACGTGCGTGCAAAGTACCTGCGACGGCAACGTAACGCACAGCTCAGAATACATGCAATGGGTCACATGCGCAGCGCTTAGGTAACGCAAGCGCAACGCGCACGTGACGCATACGCCACGCAGCGCACATGAAACACGCAAGCATAGATAAGCACGGTACATTTGGCTTCCACTTTCAGGCTTGGACTGTGCCAAGAAGGAGGAAGGAGATGCTGACGGCAACCTCGGCGCCAAGCAGGAGGTCGTCTGGGGTAAAAAGCCGTTTCAATTTTATCCATCTTTGAGAATCGGCGCGGCCGCTCGAGGACCCGGCGGCGCTGCTGAAGGAGAGGACGCGGAAGCGGAAAGCTACCGTGGCTGCTGATGCCAATATTGTGCGGCCGTTCTCGAAAAAAGCACGCGAAGCTACCGTATCTCAAATTGAATCGAAGCGTGCGGTAGAGCAAATTACCGCCGAGAAGCCTGGAACGTCAAGTGAAGAGGCTACGGTGGAAACGAAAAATTTCCAAGAAGAGGAGTCCAACGTACAGAGGAGCGGAGCGGAGCCTCGGAACAATGAAGGCAATTCCGAGGAGAAACAATCGAATTCTTCTGATCAGGAAACTACAGTAACCCAACCGGATGGGAACGGGAAAATCGAAAATCACCTCGTCCAGAGGAGCCTGACGGAAGCTACCGTACACCCAGAAGCCGCGGTAACTCCTTCAGAATCGATTAAAAACTCCCGAACTGGGCTCCCGATTTTGTGAACCTTTTTTTTGGTCGTTTAAAGGGCCCGGCAAGGCATGAAGAAATGGCTTTTGATGAATTGTTATCAAATGTCGAAATTGATAATGTCGAAATATCAAAATGTCGAAATCCCATAATGTCGAAATTTCATAATGTCGAAATTCCATAATGTCAATTTTTTACATAGGATTCGGCGGTTTCACCGTAAATATTAGCCTTTTTTCGCGAGAAGCGGAAGCGGAAAATTTCGACACTCTGACTTTGACATTCTGAGATTTCGGTATTATGGTTTTCGGCATTATGATTTTCGACATTTTGAAAATAAACTGCTTTATTTTCAGGTGTTTCCGTGCCGCCTTTCTATTGCGTAATCGATTACGCATAACCGATTAGCGGCGCGTTGCGTGCCGCTAATGCCTTTCGACTCTCTAGTCATGCCTTGCCCATCCCTTCAAATTGTCTAGCCTAAATGCTAATCCGATTTTTCCAAGTTACGTTCTTCCTTTTGACATCCCTTGTCGTCCCCTTTATTTGCCGTTTTCGCGGGTCATTTGATACAAATTTAGCGTGAATCGCCGATTATTCAGACGCTGTCCGTTTTTATGCATCCCTTTATTGTCAATAAATATATTTATTCAGCGTGTGTTTTTATTTGGATGAATTACCATCCCTCAAAGTGCTTCCACATCTGAAAGTTAAAAATAAGTTGATGGTTATCATTACGGTCCTTAAAGAAGTTGTGAAGTTATGCTATCTGATTTTCTGGCTTCTGGCGCTATAGGCTTAGGCTTAGACTTAGGCGTAGAGCTTAGGCTTATGCTTCGACTTAGGCTTAGGCTTAGGCTCGGGCTTCGATTAGACGTATGCTTAGGCTTAGGCTTCGGTTAGACCTGGGCTTAGGCCTTGGCTTAGGTTCAAGCGTGGGTTTGGCATTCCCCATCCCGTCCCGTTAAGAGTGCAACTAACATTTTTGGGCGTCGATTTTGTAGTGGAACATTAGTGAAATCAACTCGACGAGCCCTTGAATATAATCAGCTTCATTCTGGCTTCCAGTGGTGATCGCTTGAAGTCTCGAGATTAGCTGAAATGGATGGTTAGGAGAGAGAGATCGAGTGACAGAGAGAGAGAGAGAGAGAAAGCGTGAGAAATTGAGATCAAGAGAGAGCGTGAGAGAGAGAGGACGAGAAAGCGCGAGAAGGAGAGAGAAAATGAGAGAGAGAGAGAGCGCGAGAGCGAGATAGAGAGCTCATACTAACCCTATTACTCCTGAAGTCGCGCGGCATCTCAAAAGTCAACGTCTTGATCAACTTTTGGGCAATCTGCCAGCGGTCCGCATCAGGCCGGCTTTGGAAATAGGGTGTCTAGATGGTTGCATTTAAAGTTTTTTCATTTGGCAAGCTTGCCTTCCGCGTCCCTTTAAAATCTATATGTCAAAAAGTGAAATTAGCTGAGGACGGGGAAGTCTGACACCACATGTGTGGTGGGGAAAAATGAATCTACCCTGAGCTCGGCAACCTTCTCGTCCAGATCGGCCAGATCGCTGGCGTCGAGGGCTTCTGGCGTGAAAAGGAGCGTTCTGAAAAATTGAAAAATGCCGCAAATGATCTCTGCTAGCCTGCCCATCAAAAACCAAATTCTGACCTCGCTGCCCTGACGAGCAATAGAGGCCAGCACGGCCCATCGGCGTCTACAGTGATGGCAGAATTTCTTGGAGCTCTGCAACCACAGCGAAATTTTTGAAATCACTGTCTCACTCTCGCTCTCTCTCTATCGCTTAAAATACCTTAATGCCTCGACGAGAGCCTGCGCCAAGTCCCACGGCGCATTCTCGGGCTTGTGGCTGCTCAGCGCCGAGTCGATGCAAATCTGAAAATTGTCTAGAATTTGCTCACATATTTTCTGACTAATTTCTGCTTTCTTAGATTCTCCCAAACGAACCATTTCAAGCGTTTTGACTGGAGAAGCTTCGGCATCTCCCGCTATTTGGCTGACCGAAAAGACGTCGTTGAGCAGCTCGAAGATAGCGACTAAATCCTCCAAATCTAAGAACTCCGGAAATCATCTGTTAGCCTGCCCCTTCCCTTCCCAAATGATCTCTGCTAGCCTGCCCCTTCCATTCCCAAATGATCTCTGCTAGCCTGCCCCTTCCATTCCCAAATGATCTCTGCTAGCCTGCCCCTTCCATTCCCAAATGATCTCTGCTAGCCTGCCCCTTCCATTCCCAAATGATCTCTGCTAGCCTGCCCCTTCCATTCCCAAATGATCTCTGCTAGCCTGCCCCTTCCATTCCCAAATTATCACTGCTAGAACTCCGGTCCCGTCAAAACACCTACCTGTTCGATTCTCTCGGATCATTTCGGCTTCAATTATAGAGGGTGCAATCAAGAGACAGATGACCAATTTGAGCATCATTTTTCTTAGGGCAGCTTCAAGTTGATGGCGGAAACTAACAAGCACGGGGGGAAAGTGTGGGCGTTGGTAGTGAGAGTGTGACTTTGTCATAACTAGACACCTCCCTCACTCTCCGATTCACGCCTATTAACGGTCCGATCCACGGCGCTGGTGATGACGATTGGCGGTAGGCCGAGAAAACATCATTGACGGACCCTAAAGTGGCTAGGAAGTCGAGAAAAGACCCATCTCTTCGAGTAGGAATAGACGCTAAAAACCAAATTACCCATGGGGGGAGTAGATCCTCGTTTTACCGGCAAGTCTTGGCGCATCTCTGTGTGGATGGCGAAATTCAGGATCGGTTAATCCTCGTTTCCGGTGCCTGAACACCTTGGGGACTTCCGGTCCCCCCATCCTGAAGTTGAGCAAAACTTTGCTAGCAGAGATCATTTGGGAATGGAAGGGGCAGGCTAGCAGAGATCATTTGGGAATGGAAGGGGCAGGCTAGCAGAGATCATTTGGGAATGGAAGGGGCAGGCTAGCAGAGATCATTTGGGAATGGAAGGGGCAGGCTAGCAGAGATCATTTGGGAATGGAAGGGGCAGGCTAGCAGAGATCATTTGGGAATGGAAGGGGCAGGCTAGCAGAGATCATTTGGGAATGGAAGGGGCAGGCTAGCAGAGATCATTTGGGAATGGAAGGGGCAGGCTAGCAGAGATCATTTGGGAATGGAAGGGGCAGGCTAGCAGAGATCATTTGGGAATGGAAGGGGCAGGCTAGCAGAGATCATTTGGGAATGGAAGGGGCAGGCTAGCAGAGATCATTTGGGAATGGAAGGGGCAGGCTAGCAGGGATCATTTGGGAATCGCAGAAATGATTTTCTAAATATTTTCTAACCCCCATCAACCGACCGTTGGCTCGCAGTCCGGCTGATCTTCCCCCCTCCCCCTCCGTGCTCCCCTAGGCAACGGCGCGTGCCCTGGGGGGCACGAAAAGCCGCCCGCCACATCCCCCCACTCCCGTCTCGCAGGCAGGGAGAAGCCGAGAATGCGAGAGAGAGAGAGAGAGAGAGAGAGAGAGAGACCAACGAAAAAGGGGATGGGCCAAAAGCGCCGCGGGACATGCCTGCCCCGCCGCGTGCCCCTGCAGACATGGCCCTCCGGGGGTCCCGGAACGACAACAACTGAAAATTGCCTTTTTGGGTTTGTCGACGAGTTTTTGTGCTTCAACTGGAAATTTAGGGGCCGCTGGAGTACTGTAGCGTGCTATAGTGCCTTGTACTGTAGCTCGCGCTACCGTAGTCTAAAATTATGAGGCCCTATTTTCGGGAAAAGCTGATGAAGGCCTCGGAGATTTAATTAAAATGACAATTTACTTCACTTTCAACTACAGCGGATAGCTTATTTTGGCTAGGGTTACGGTAGCTATCGATTTCGCTTTTGATTTTTTGGCTAAATCCGACTCGACGCTACGCGACCCTACTCGAGCCCTTGAATAACTTCCAGGGCACGGTAGCAGAATCTAGCTGTGGTTACGGTAGCCCATCCTATTTTTTGCATTTTTCCCGTCTCGCATAAAGTTGTGGTTTCTGACCTTGCAGGTTCCTTTAAAAACTGGCGCTATTCTAGCTGAACCTTTTCGCTCTGTTGCCGTCCCTTTAAAAGAGAAGCCCTGTTTGCCAAATGATCTCTGCTAGCCTGCCTCTTCCATTCCCAAATGATCTCTGCTAGCCTGCTCCGTTAATATCGCAACGTATTTTAGCTGTCACTATCCCTTTAAAACCGCCTAGAGGTCCCCCTCCCGGCATGCCATTTGCAATGCCGAGCGTCGAGCCGACCAACGGCTGTGTGGAGTGTGCCGTGCCCCCGGGCTATATGCGCGCTCGCGGCCAGAGAGTATTAGGAGGGAGGGAGAGTGAGAGAGAGAAAGAGAGAGAGAGAGAGAGAGAGAGAGAGAGAGAGAGAGAGAGAGAGAGAGCAAGAGCGCTCAGCTGTGAGGCTGACTGGGTGGGCTGGGGGGAGAAGGGGGGCGCGTGCGAATCGAAAGCAAAGCGGGCAGCCGCGCGCTTCTCCCCCTGGGGCGAGAAAGGGGGCGAGCCAGCGCCCGTCCTCCTCTTCCTGCTCCTCCTTGTTTTTCGGTCGTGCCCTCCGGCTACTTGCTGGGGCTCGCCGGCTCTTGCGAACCATTGGCTAGCCACGGATTTTTCGATATCCTGAGCTCATTTTGATTTTAACTCGATTTTACAATTTCATGTGCGCGGGTCGGACAAGCAGGTATTTTTGGAACACATGAGAGTGAGACAGATGAGAGAGAGAGAGGGAGGAAGAGAGAGAGAGCGAGAGAGAGATGCAGAGATCATTTGGGAATGGAAGGGGAAGGCTAGCAGAGATCATTTGGGAATGGAAGGGGCAGGCTAGCAGAGATCATTTGAGAATGGAAGGGGCAGGCTAGCAGAGATCATTTGGGAATGGAAGGGGCAGGCTAGCAGAGATCATTTGGGAATGGAAGGGGCAGGCTAGCAGAGATCATTTGGGAATGGAACGGGCAGGCTAGCAGAGATCATTTGGGAATGGAAGGGGCAGGCTAGCAGAGATCATTTGGGAATGGAAGGGGCAGGCTAGCAGAGATCATTTGGGAATGGAACGGGCAGGCTAGCAGATATCATTTGGGTTTTTGCTGGCCAAAACTATGCCACCCCGCTGCCCCATTTTCTGGTGCGCCGTCGTCACGCAGCCCAACTCATTATCCCCCGTCCGTCTGGCTGACGCGCCTCTTCCACCGCCCCCAGGGCATTTCCACTGGTTGTCCTGCACGGGTCCCGGTTTTTGTCATGGCCCTGCCACTGCCAGCGCTTTGGTTTTTCTTTGGCATTTTGACAAAATTCATCTCCAAAAAATGACTGATTCGAATGGCTACAGTACGATTTATCACGGTTGACGGTTGTTGTGTTTTCTTCATCTAGCTGCTTATCCGTCTGTCTGTCTGTTTGTCTGTATCTCTAGAACTCTCACGCGCTCTCTTTTTATCTGTCTCTCTCTCCCTCTCTGTTACTTGCTCTCACGCTTTTCCCCCTTCTAGCTACGCGATGCGCCAAATGACGCCTGATCGCGCTTTCGAATTTTAGCGAAGCATTACCATTTATCGCATCCGGATATCTGGTCGACGGAATGGGTCCATTCCCTCGCTTTCGGTCCCTTTAACTCGGTGACATTTTCGCCTAGACCCAGGAGGGCACGCCGGATTATGCGGGCCGGCGGGCCCGCATCGGTATTCCCGGCCGTCGGGCCCTCCCCCGCGGGGCCGTAAAGAGTACTTGTCCGTACTCGCCCTGCCTCGCCTTTTGCCTGCCCGCGAAAGCCGTGCTCGCCCTGCCCGCCCTCCCCTCCTGCTCTCGGTCCTGCTCCGGGGGACTCGGGAATTGATTCGGGCGCGCAGGCCGCGTGCCGTCGCCTCCCACTGCCCGCTCGGCTTTTGCCTGGTGGCCAGGCGGGAATGGCCAGTCAGCCAGACTGGCGGGCTGGCCATACCCACACTTGTGGCCCTCGGCTTTGGCTCCCGGTCGCTTTGGCTTAAGCTTTGTAATTAGGGGAGCTTGCTCATTCGGTATACGGTAAAATACTTTCCAACGTTTCTAACAGACTTTCCAAAAGATCTCCGCTAGCCTGCCCCTTCCATTCCCAAATGATCTCTGCTAGCCTGCCCCTTCCATTCCCAAATGATCTCTGCTAGCCTGCCCCTTCCATTCCCAAATGATCTCTGCTAGCCTGCCCCTTCCATTCCCAAATGTTCTCTGCTAGCCTGCCCCTTCCATTCCCAAATGATCTCTGCTAGCCTGCCCCTTCCATTCCCAAATGATCTCTGCTAGCCTGCCCCTTCCATTCCCAAATGATCTCTGCTAGCCTGCCCCTTCCATTCCCAAATGATCTCTGCTAGCCTGCCCCTTCCATTCCCAAATGATCTCTGCTAGCCTGCCCCTTCCATTCCCAAATGATCTCTGCTAGCCTGCCCCTTCCATTCCCAAATGATCTCTGCTAGCCTGCCTCTTCCATTCCCAAATGATCTCTGCTAGCCTGCCCCTTCCATTCCCAAATGATCTCTGCTAGCCTGCCCCTTCCATTCCCAAATGATCTCTGCTAGCCTGCCCCTTCCATTCCCAAATGATCTCTGCTAGCCTGCCCCTTCCATTCCCAAATGATCTCTGCTAGCCTGCCCCTTCCATTCCCAAATGATCTCTGCTAGCCTGCCTCTTCCATTCCCAAATGATCTCTGCTAGCCTGCCCCTTCCATTCCCAAATGATCTCTGCTAGCCTGCCCCTTCCATTCCCAAATGATCTCTGCTAGCCTGCCCCTTCCATTCCCAAATGATCTCTGCTAGCCTGCCCCTTCCATTCCCAAATGATCTCTGCTAGCCTGCCCCTTCCATTCCCAAATGATCTCTGCTAGCCTGCCCCTTCCATTCCCAAATGATCTCTGCTAGCCTGCCCCTTCCATTCCCAAATGATCTCTGCTAGCCTGCCCCTTCCATTCCCAAATGATCTCTGCTAGCCTGCCTCTTCCATTCCCAAATGATCTCTGCTAGCCTGCCCCTTCCATTCCCAAATGATCTCTGCTAGCCTGCCCCTTCCATTCCCAAATGATCTCTGCTAGCCTGCCCCTTCCATTCCCAAATGATCTCTGCTAGCCTGCCCCTTCCATTCCCAAATGATCTCTGCTAGCCTGCCCCTTCCATTCCCAAATGATCTCTGCTAGCCTGCCCCTTCCATTCCCAAATGATCTCTGCTAGCCTGCCCCTTCCATTCCCAAATGATCTCTGCTAGCCTGCCCCTTCCATTCCCAAATGATCTCTGCTAGCCTGCCCCTTCCATTCCCAAATGATCTCTGCTAGCCTGCCCCTTCCATTCCCAAATGATCTCTGCTAGCCTGCACCTTCCATTCCCAAATGATCTCTGCTAGCCTGCCCCTTCCATT